TGGTTAACTTCGCCAGCGGCCCCCTTTCCCGGGGCAGTCCCTGCTCTCCCCTGCTAGAGGGGCACCCTAATCCGTCACCCCATCCGACTTCAGAATGTATTCGTTGGGTTCGGCAACTCACCACCAGCATCCAACCAAATCTAGCGGATCAACGGCGCATCAACTTAGTTCCTGGTCAGCTCGCAAGTTGATATTATCACGTCCTACACCGTCCATAAGATGGGGGGCCACCTCCCATTTCATCACTCCTCAAACACCCGAGGAGCCGGCAGGCGGATTTGAACCCGGGTCGACTGGGTCAACTGGGAGCAGAAGTCAGGCCTTAACCTCTGCCAGCCGCCTGCCTAATGTTCACTGTTTCACAATCACTGTGATATATTACCTATCCGGGAACTATAAGAGCTCCATCAGGCATTCATTACAGAATGTTTTCATGGTTGATGCATTCTTAATGCATACTTATATGACATACTTACATAAAACCGCTTAATACCAGTGTAAGAATGTTTAAGAATGCACACCCGCCTCCTCCATGTTCTTCCGTCGTTCTTATCGTTCTTAAGCATTCTCCTAAGTTTCTTAACCCCCCTCCGTGTTTGTAGGGTGTGGACACCCTTGCTGCCAGCTGTCCAGCACTTATAGCAGCCATGTTTTACTCGTGGCACCCCTGACATTCGCAGCATGTCCTCGATGGCCCGGTAATCCCCACCGGCCGTGAGAAGTCTAACCCTGACACTGATGTAGGACTCCGTGTGTGCATCGAAAGTATCCACCCCGCACTCTGCCAGGCTTTCCAGCTCCCTGGACAGGAGCTTCAACATGCACCCAACACGCGGCCTCTCCCCCTCGTCCTTCTTTCGTGAACCTGGCAGGATGCCAAGGACCGTTGTCGCACCATGGGTGTACCTGAACCCAAGTTGGACAGACAGGGTTGGCAATGCAATTGGATGGATGTAATGTAATGTAATGTTACAGAGTGGGAGGCTTCTGGGCCGCTTTATCACATTGTCAGTTCTATGATTTATCATCTTATAGCACCGTCCACCACTACCACACTATACTTCGCCATACGAACTGTAAGTCCAAGGCGGCGGGTCCAGCCGTCTAGGACCCCTCCTCATCCATTCACCCGAACAACCGAAGAGACGGAGGGTTCGGCAATCGCCACCAATCTAGCGTGCGAATCTGGTCCATCAACTGCGACCTCAACTCCACATCTCAGCAGCTAGCCATAATCTCGCGCTCCCGACTAATTCGGGGGTCTCCCCAGGAATCGAACCCAGGACCTTAAACCGCGAATCGCAGTAGTGTCAACCCAGACCAGACCAGATGGATGTGCATGGCCCTACTGGGGGATCCACTGATGACAGTGCCCCACCTTATGTCTGGGCTGAAATTGTATGCTGTGATGGCAACGGGGTACAGACTGTAACTAGCATCATCCTTGTATGTCTGGACTCCATCAGTGAAGACACCGAGGAGGATGTCCGTGTCACGCAGGGGAGGCTGTCCGCCTTGTTCAGATTCCTTCATGACGATGTAAGCCTTGCCGTCTGTGATGTCACAGATGAACCTGTCTGGCAACCCACGTTCGGCAGCAGATTTCACATGATGCCTGATTTCCTTGGACCACCACGGTCATCCTCAGGCGCCGGCGGTGGCAGCTGCACAGTAGCAGAGGCGCCCCCCTCCTGCAGGCCGCATTGCACGGAGTGATGCACAGGAGGCACGACGGGTTCACCAGGTTGGTCAACGGGCAGTGTCATGCGGTGCACCCGTTGTGTGCTCTGTGGTGCACCCTCCCTCACACGGACCGACCCCGCCCCGGAGGCTCCCCCACCTGCTGTCTTACCGTGCACGGAAACCGTGGGCTGGGCATGGCTGCTGGTCCTGCAGCTGACGGGGATGGCAAAGCAGCCGCCTCACCACCACGGGCATCCTCAGGCGCCGGCGGTGGCAGCTGCACAGTAGCAGAGGCGCCCCCCTCCTGCAGGCCGCATTGCACGGAGTGATGCACAGGAGGCACGATGGGTTCACCAGGTTGGTCAACGGGCAGTGGCATGCGGTGCACCCGTTGTGTGCTCTGTGGTGCACCCTCCCTCACACGGACCGACCCTGCCCCGGAGGCTCCCCCACCTGCTGTCTTACCGTGCACGGAAACCGTGGGCTGGGCATAGCAGCTCGTCCTGCAGCCGACGGGGATGGCACAGCAGCCGCCTCACCGCCACGGGTGTCCTCCTCCTGCAGGCCGCGTCACACAGAGTGATGCACAGGAGGCATGACAGGTTCGCCAGGTTGGTCGACGGGCAGTCATGGCAGCGGGAAGCAGACTTGCACCGAAGCCCTGGTGTACCGGAGTACTGAACACAACAAGCAAGTGCATCTGAGGATGCCCCCCTTCGTGCCATCCCCAGCCGACACACTCCACCCTGTCGTGCTGCTCCTGTGGAGTGTCATGTGGTGCACCCGTTGCATGCTCTGTGGTACACCGGTGTACCCTCAATTATATGGACCGACCCCGCCCCTCAGGCCTGCCCACCTGCTGTCCTGCCATGCATGGATACCGTGGAATGGCATCATCTGTATCATTGTGTCCCCTGTCCATCTCCCGTTGCTGCTCCTCATCATCCGCCACCAGCCGGGTCATGTTTGGGGCCCGCTTTCTCTTCCTGGTCTCGTTGCACACACCAAAGCCTCGATGAACCAGCTCCTCTGACTGCAGGAGCAGCGACAGGGGACGGACGGGGGTCAGGGAGACCGCACGACACTCAAGGTGCGACTCTGCTCCCCCCTGCCATGCATGAGCTTGGTCTTGATCTCACCCATAATCCTACCTGTTCGCCTGCTTCTGAAGGGGCCAGCCCATTGCTCTGGCCAGCACCAGAGACCTCTGTGCCATCCTCGGACACCCCATACTCGCCAGCATCACCAGTGCCGCCATGCTTCACCGGGTCCACCATGGCAGCATCACCTCCCTGGGTGGATGGTGACAGGCAAGAAGACTGTGCGTGTGTGTGATGGGTGGGGGAAGGATGGAAGGCCGCGGGCCGGCGACAGGGCAGTGGTACATACCTCAGCTCCCCCGGAGGTCACCACCTCCTCACCAGCCTTCAAAGCTTCTTCATTCCCCTGTGACATACACAATCTGTTTGTAAAGGTGCCCATGCATATCGCTCCCCGCCCAGCCCTGGAGCTGGAAACCCACCGTTGTCATGGTCCTGTCAGCCGCGCTGGCTGCCTGTGATGTGATGACACTGGCGGCACAGAGGTGAAGCGCAAAGCTTGAAGTGGCATGCTCAGACAAAGCCGTGCTGCGTGCAGGGACCCCTGGCATGGTACACAACCTGCTGCTGTGCTCAGGGAGGCTACGGATGTACCTCTTCAGGCTCTCCTCCTTGGCACCACTACCAAGCATTCCGACAAGCGTCCTCTCCACCTGTGAGGACGGAGACAATCTGTTTGCGCGCCGAACACTTCTCAGCAACAACCTGGCACAGTATTCACCTCATTGCCAGCCGAGAATCTCATTGATACGAGATCGTCTGGCTTGCTGCGCCTTGGCACTGTAGCAACCCACTCAATGCCATCGACAATAACTATGAAGGTTTCACACGCAAAGTTAAACACTTCACGTTTAAGGCGTTGGCCTATTTGTCTCTTCTGTAAGTACAGGTCGCGTATCTGCATAAAGGTACCAGATGGTGCCATTTTCACAGCAATCACATAGTGCTAAACCCAGTGACGTTTCTTATTGGTGCTGCAAATTGTCCAAATGTTCACATGACTTCTGGGCAGCAAGAGGTGAAATGCCGTGCAATTCCGGACCCTGGTCCGGAAGTGTACGGCATCTTGAAAATTATGCTGAATCCTGGTCTTAACTTCGCAGAATTGGACAGTACCAACGAATCGAAGCCGATGTGCTCATATTTTGTAGATGACATCCAGGCAGAATAGTCCAAATAGCGGACAGGGGTCCTCGAGGTCTGTGTCCCCAGAACGGTCGTTGAGGAACACACTTGAAGAAGAGAGAGCTCTCATCATCCAGAGGAATTTAAAGAAGCTAGCAAGCCTTGGACTACAGG